CGCTCCTTTCATCCCGAGCTTTTCCCAAACACGCACACCCGTCTGTTCTTCCGAGCAAAACTTAGAATCCGCTTGTTCAGTTCTATTAGGAAAAGAAAGGTTGGAACTGGTGCTGCAACCAAGTTAAACATCGACCCCAGGTCTTCTGATGCCAAGTGTGATGGCTTTTTTCGCACTTGGCTGCCTCCCAAGTTCAGCCGCCTTCTCCCTGCTTTACGAGCACGCTGAACAGTGGAGAAACGGTTTGAATATCGCTACCAAACAAAGCTTCTCTTTAATTGGTCATTCCTGGAATCTTGTTCCGTGTGGGGTTTCTGATGGCGTTTTAATTCTGACGTGTTTATAGTTCAGGCTGCAAGCGGTGCTTTCAGAAGGAGAGCGGAGCAGTTGTGTGAAATGCTCTGAAGTGCGTGCACTTGCTGTTTCGCTTTGTCTCATAACCTTTGGGGCGAGAGTTGGCATTTGTGGGAGGTGGGAATGCCGCCCCACCCCCTCCAGCAGGAGCCTTGGGGCCTCCATTCTCCCTGCACGCGGCCCGCCCGCCGCTCCGTGGGGTCTGATCGTTTCCCACTGCGAGACATTTCCGTGTCCTTTTTAAGAACTTTAATATGTAAGAGCAGGAAAACAGGGCGCCCTGCAAATTAGGGGAGCTGCGTGAGGGCCGGGCCCCTCCCGTGGCTCAGACTGACTGTCATTGTCACGGGCAGCGTGTTCCCCCTCGTCCCCGACCTCCAGGCAGGCCAGCCCCCTCGGCACACCCTCACTGACGCACCGTCGCGTATTCGTGCCTGCTGCCTGCGTCTAATTACACTTTCTACTTGGAGGTCATGTCGTCCTCGCGTAGCCGTGAGAAATGATACGGAGAGAACCATGTTTGCCTGACACAGCGCAGTGTCACAGTCAGGACGCTGACCCGGATACAGTCGGGGTCCAGAACGTTCCATCGCGCACCTGGGTCGCTCTTCCGTGCTTTTGGAGCCACCCCCTTACCCTCCCAATACCTGCAGCCCCTGATCTGCTCTCCACTTCTACTTACCTCGTTTCAAGAATGTCGTGTATATAAGTGCACCATGCAGTAGGTGACTTCCAGACTGGCTTGTTTCCTGCGGCCTCTTCTATGGAGATTCACCCCAGTGGCTGCAAGTGTCCGTAGTCCAGTCCTTTTTCAGCCGCGTTGAGTTCCTCCCTCCACGTGGAGGTGCTGCGGGGCGTCCAACCACTCGCCTGTTGCTGGGTGCCTGGGTTGTTTCCAGGTTGGGGCTGTTGTGAATGACGTTGCTGTGAACATTTGTGCACGTTTTTTATGTGAACTTAAGTCTTCATTTCTCTGGGATAAACGCCCCTGTTCAGTTTTCAAGAAACTCCCAGACTTTCCAGAGGGGCCTCACCACTTACATCCCCACCGGCAGCACGGGAGGGACCCAGTTTCTCTGCGCCCTCGCCGGCATTCGGGGTCATCACATTTCTTGCTTCGGCTGCTCGTGGGGTGCAGTGGTGTCTCACGGGGCTGTGAGTCCTGTTTCCCTGCCGGCTAACGACACTGACCACTCTCACGGGCTTTTCTTCCATCCACCCGAGTGTCCTCCTCAGTGCAATGTCTCCTCGTGTCTTATGCCCCTTTTCTGGTTGGATCCTTTGCCTTGCTGTTGAGTTTTGGGAATTCCTTGTGTGTTCCATTTGTGGAATGTGTGGTTTTCAGCTATTTTCTCCCTCAGTCGGTAGCTTGTCTTTTCATCGCCTTAGCAGGGTCTTGAGCAGAGCGAAGATGCCTGATTTCGATGAGGTCCAATTCACCAGCAAAGCCGATTTAGACTGTGGATTGCGCTTTCGGCGTCTCCTGTGCCTGGGCAAGCCGGGCCGAGCCCCTGGCCCCTGGGTTTCCTCGCGTGAGTCCCCTGCAGGTTTCATCGTGCACATGGCGCACCCGCGCCCTTGGCCCATCTCAGGTGCAGGTTGGAGCCCGTGTGAGACTCAGCTGCCCGGTGGCTGCAGCACCATCTGCTGCCAGCTGCCCCGTTTCTCTGCACTGCCCGCAGAGGGCACCTGTGGGCCTGCCCCTGGGCTCTGTCTGCTCTGCGTGCTCCTTTGTGTGTCCCTCGCAACACCGCTGTCTCAGTGACAAGCGCTGCCTAGTGCGCATGGCCGTCAGGTACAGTGGGCCCTCCCGCCTCTTCCTGATGGCCGCTCGAAACCCTCCCAGACAGTCCTGACCAGGCCTCTGGGTCGGCGTCTGTCATTTGCCTTTTTTCATTCAGTTTGAGATCTTCCTGGCTGTTGGTATGATTTTCAGTTGAAACCTTGTATATGTTATATTACAAGACTATATCTTACTTTATAGCCTTTGTGTTAGATGATTTTCACTCATGCTGCTCTGTTAGGGGTGGGGGAGAGGCCACCTCAGGCCTCTGCTGCCCCTCCATGGCTCCGCTGACACTGCTGGGTGGGGTGGGGTGGGGTGTGGGACCGTCCTAACTCCACTGGGCCTCCTCTGATGCCCCAGCACAGCTGGAAAGGGCACCTCGCTGCCGTGATACAGGTGGGGGTGGAAGTCCAGCCCCCTGTGTGTTCTCTCCCATGCTGCCTTGTAGGGTGGGAGGGAAGGGGAATCCAGGCTTCCCTCTCATCCTTGCTGGGTGGAAGGGTGGGGTCTGGCTGGGGTGGGATTGCTCTGTTGCTTCCTGTCCTCCTGCAGGAGGGACCTCTCCCGGTCCCTTGCCAGAGAGAGCAGCATTTGTTGGGGTGTTTTGGTTTGTGCCCATTGATGTTTCCAGGCTGCTGGCTCCTTCAGCTCCAAGTCTGGGGTCATGACACAGAAAGGAGACCAGGGGACCCATGCCGTGCCATCCCTCGGGTCCCACAGGTCTGCCCTCCTCCTTTCACCTCTACACGTGGTGTCAGGGTCTTCAGCTGTACTGACGGGGGGGCGGGGGGGAGGGGGGAGGACGTGTGCACCACTCTCCCGCTGCGCGAGTCCCTGCAGCCCGTTTCGGGCGGGGCCAGGGCTCAGCGAATAACAGCGGAGCCATCAGAACGGTTGTGCGTTGTTTCCCGAATTGACAGTTTGGGTTTCCTCAAAGTGCTCGTGATGGGGTTTCTCATGCAGCCTCCAGGTTCCATGCACCCCCTACCCCGCCCGTTCTCCTGTCTTCACGGTGTGTCCGGTCACCCTCTCCTCCAGTCGTCACCTCCACGTGCCCGCTTCTGACCTGCCCCGCAGCCCCGAGGCCCTCGGAGCACCTTGCCGAGGGCGCGCAGTGGTCTTGCAGCCCTGCCACGTCTTACCTCCCACTCTAGACCTCAAGGAAATCGCTCCTCATTAAAATTTTCCATGATGGGCCCTGACCGGTGTGGCTCAGTGGGTTAGGCCTCTTCCCACAAACTGAAAGGTCACCGGTTCGATTCCCAGTCCGGGCACAAGCTTGGGTTGCAGGTTTAGTCCCTGGTCAGGGCACGTACCAGAGGCGACCGATCGATGTTCCCCTCTTTCTTCCATGTTCTCTCTCTCTCTCTTTCTCCCTCCCTTCCCCTCTCTCTAAAAATCAGTAAATAAACACAAACATTCAGTAAATGAAACTGTAAAGCACATGCACACACAGCATTGCATACCAAACCCACCTGCCCGCCAGCTGGCCCGAGCGGTGACTAGCCGCGGACCTTCCGTTTCAGCCGGGCGCCACCTGCTTCCCCACCCGGGTCATGTTGTAATAGTGAATGCCAGGTGTTGCCGTGTCATCCCTCAGTACCTCAGTACTTCAGTGTGACTGAAGGTAAGTCCTAGCTCCACACCTGCAATGATAAACAAGCATTCCTGGTTACAGTCAGCTCTCCAGATGGCATTTGTGTTTGAATTTCTCCATCGCAGGATCTGTCTGATTCATTTCCAGTCCTTGCCATGTCCGCGCTGTGCTGTACACAGAACAGGTTTCCAGAAAACGTATCTTTATATAATTAATGAATATAAAGTAATAATGCTTTTAAAACTATCTGGAACACTCTCTTGAATAACAGATTCTAAATAGAAACTCGTTGAACTTTTAGCAACAAATTTACCAGATATGCAGTGAGATTCAACACTATTAACAAATGGTTGTCATGAAAACTGTATATATTTTAGACGTTTGATGTATGGGAGATGTTTATGATATGTGCATGCTTTAGCACATTTTAGTCACCATCTTCTAAAAAACGATGAATTTGCCTTTGTGATTTGTAATATCAATTTTATTTGTATACAAAGCAACTTGTGGCTACAAATTTGCAAGTCGTCTTTTTCATCAATTACAATTTGATGGGATCATTAATTATAGATTGTGTACTAGTAAAATTTTGCAAAGTATAGCCATAGTATTTAGGAAGAGGAAACTCTTAATTAAGTTTGTTAAGAATTAGATCATTGGAGTAATTGTTCTTTGAGGATTTCCTGTTATTTACTTCTCCTGCTAATAAAGTAATGTTATTCTTGGCTAACAAGTTCGATGAGATTTTAACAATTCCATGCATTTTAGATTCATCTGTGTGAGATGTGACTCCAGAGGAAAGTGGAATAATGAAGTGAAATGCCGTGGGCCCTTCTTTTTCTTTGCAGCTTTATTTTGTGACCCAGACCGGAAGTCTGCCAGAGCAGAGACCCAGTGGCAGGCGGCTGGAGTCCTGTCTGGGCTCTGTGGCTGTCTGGGGTTGTGCGGTCTCCAGGCCCTCGCATGGGAGAGACTGAAGACGTGAACACTGTCACCTTTCTCCCTGGTTTGGGGCTCGCCAGGGCCCCGGCCCTGGAATCAAGGCCACCCCTGCCTGTGGCAGAGCCCACGGGGGTCCTGTGGGGAACCGTGCCAACAGGCGGGGGCACCTGCTCATCCTGTCCCGGCAGCAGATGGACTGTCCTTGCTTCCTGCGTCTCTTTTCTGTGTGCAGCTGCATTGGTGTCGTTTCTGCAGAGGAGCCTCACCCCATGGTGCTCGTGTGATGGACGCACTAAGTGTGACTTTCTTGCTGTCTTTCAGACAGAAACAGTCTCCGCCAGTCAAGAAACCCCCCACAGCCTTTCGCCATGGATCTAGAAGACGAAGAAAACCTGAGTAAGACCTAGGCCTGCCACGTAGTCCGGAGTGGCCGGTTTGCCATTAGTCCTGGTGTTTCTGGAACTTCATTTCATGATGCCGCTTTGGGGGCATGATCTCCCTGTGATACGGGCTCCCAGCAGTGGCATGTTTTAAATTTGTGATACATGCCGTCTTTGCTGCAGGCACCTCCCTCGCAGCCACATGTGTGGGGCTGTCACTCCTGGCCATCGTCCTGGCCGCGGTGCCCCTACCTGGGAGGAGGCGTGCCTCCAGGCACACGTCTCGTGAAGCTGTGCGCTTTGTGCGCAGTCGCAGCCTGGTTGTCACGGTGACAGTCAGGTCCCTCCGTGCAAATCTAAGATAACCTTTGAGGTGGATTTAATTACCTGGCCATCTGAAATAACAGCACGTGCACTTTTTTGTCCAAATACAGTGGGTTCTCCCACATCGTGAGGGGAAGGGCTCGCGTGGATCCGCGGAGCGTAAGTTCCCAGACTTTCAGGAGCCCTGGGACCGTGTGGCCTGCCACACCTTGGCCCCTTCTCCGTCCCACACTGTCCTCTCCAGGGCGGAGGGACGGAGGGGACAGAGAGGTTCAGGGCTGTGCCAGCTTCCCCTCCCCACGCTGCTCTCAGTGGAATGCCCAGTGAATGCACTTCTCTTCCGTTTTATCTTTAATCCCAGAGAGCAGTGCACTTGAATAAGGCTTAAATGCTCCCACAGAGGCTGGGAGCTTGTAGCAGGGCCACGGCTACAAAGACACCCTTTTCCTGGTGCAGGTGCCTGTGCGCGTTCTTACCGGTGGGTGTCCAGTTGCTGCCGAGAAAGAGCGTGCAGGTCTAAATGATGAGTGACATTTTGCTCAGAGTGGCCATCTGTGACCAGAACGCAGTTCAGTCCCTTTCTCTGTGACTTCACCCAAACCGACCAGCTCAGTGAGGCCTTGGAGTTGGCTCCATTACCCGAGGTTCATGCGGCAGAACGGCCTGCCTCGCACACAGGCCGGTCTGTGAGTTCGGTCGTGGATGGGGCGGGGTGGGCTGGGTCTTGGTCGCATGAACTGCACAGTAGACGCTCTCTCTGGCGGAAGTCAGTGCCTCTGGGATGGATGGCAGCACGAGCAACTGACCAGTCGTGTTGCAGAAGCACATGGCGCTGTGCCCATCCTCCTGCCGACCTGTGCGTAGCCCCTAACTGCCTGGTCGCCATCATAGCCCACGCCTGAGGTCCTTCTAGAACCAGCCCTATGTTTTTACCAGCCGGTTCCCCTCGCCATCTCCAGTTCTGCCCATGCACGATTTCCCATGAAGAGCGTGTGTGCACGTGTCCCCCGGCCTCCTTTCGGTTGGCACGGTGTGGGGGGGGGGGTGTCGTCCGCGGCAGCGGTCATCTGGTTTGGGTGCAAATGTCACAGAGTGTGGGTTGTATAACTGTCTCCAGACTGATCCTGTGCTAATTTAGATGAAGAATCCTCCTAAGTAATTTTTCTGTACAGATAAGCTGCCAGTTTAAGTGCTGAAACTTAGCAGTGCCAGTTCTGTGTCTTTATCACTTTGAAAGCAACAAAAAATGTTCTCATGATGAACAGTTACATTCATGAAACAAAGTAGCGTGGTGTGCGAAGAGAAAGCGACCAGGAAGAATTGTGACAGTGGGGAGGTCTTCCTCCACTTTTATTGCTTTCTCTTTACCTGGCAGCATTTTTAATGAGATAGATAGCAGCATTTTTAATGAGATAGATAGCAGTATTTCAGTGCTCCTGAGAACTTAGAATTTCTGTGACCTATGTTATAAAAAAAGTGTACCTTTCCTAGAATCATGAGATTGTCAATCCAATACTGATGATTTTAATTTCTTAAAGGAAAGCATGTGGTCGTTTGAGGATACCAATGTTTGGTTGAGTGCGTGTCAGAGTGTGTTTTTCCGGTGACGCGAGTGTCTGCATCGCTGGTTCTGTTCGGCGGAAGCGCCGGCGTGTCCGCGGCCGCCTGCGTGACGTCCTCGCTGTTCGCGCATCTAACCTGTCTCGCTCTGCCCTTCTCACCTTTTGTTCCCTCTGAGCACCGAAAGGAGTAACCTATCGAGCTTTTGCTGGAGGATGTTATAAATGAAAATTTAGTGTCTATTCCGTCAGCTTTGTCAACTGGGAGAAGTGGTGTGTGTGTCAGCACCTGGCAGAGGTGCCATCTGCAGAGAAGGCCTGCCTGTCTCTCGTCTCTGCCGCAGGCAGGCCAGCGCCTGGCCTCTCACGGGCTGCGTTTAAACCAGGGCCGATCTCTACCTCTGGGCTGAGTGCCGGCAGCCGGGGAAACTCGAAGGCTCTCACTGTGGCATTGGCAGCCCACGGCCCAGACTTGATGCCGTGTCAAAGCCTCCGTAGGCGGAGCCCATGGCGTTTGCTTAGCCCAATGAGAGTCTGCTTTTATACCATGTTGTCGAAACAGACCCAGGCCCCTAAACTGGGCACCTCTAAATTGGCTTATGATGTAAAAACCACTCTGATGACTCACAAGATACATTGTGGGGTTTGGAAGCGAGTGGCAGACCTTTAAACTCCACGACGCCAGCACCCCGGCGCCCTGCAATCAACAAACACTCCTGCGCCTCACGCGCCAGGCGGCCCCGGACCCAGCCAGGGAGATGGGGATTGCTTGCCACTCTTTTTCAAAAAGCTTGGTAAACATGAGGGGAAGAGTAAGCGCTTTTTATACCCCTTTTTGAAATTAAAATCATATTTATTTGGCCACGAACTTATAGGGTACTAAAATTAACTTTATTAATTATAACTACAAGCTACCTTTAAAAGGTTGAACAACCAAGTTATTCATAAATCCATCAAATGTTCGTTTTAAAAAATGTTTAAAAGACAAAATTTCCAGCTTTAGTTACGAAGTTGTAGCCTGCCTGCAGCTTCAATTTTACGCCTTCCTCTTATATATATATTTTTACTCCTGTGGAATATATTAAGGATTCAGAGGCACATCAATCCCCTCATATAGTAAAAACTTTTAAATGAATACTAGAAATGGAGCTATATCCTTCAGAAATCATTTTTAAGCAGCCAGAATACTTTACATAATGACGTAAGCTGATTTCTAAGATTGATTCATGAACTAAATCAAATAACAGCACAAATTGACCGAATTTTTTGAACCTGGAAAACTAGTCAGCCTGTAAATGCTGCTTTTACACGTGGCCCCTCCTCTGCGAGATGCCGCAGCTCAGAGCCGACCGCGAGAGGAAGTGCCCCTGGGAAGGGGGTGGGGGTGCCATGCTAGACCGGCATCTGTCAGTACTAGTGCCAGACTCACTAGTGTGAGGTCTTCTGGACACATCTACCGAGCCACACTTCGGTGCTCCAGAGGATTCTCACAAAAGTGACTTTAAAACTCACCTTCTAATGCAAAAGCAGTTGGCGATGATGAATAGAGATGGAAGGAGCCATTATTCAGCGAGGCGCCCGGCGGCCCAGGTCAGTGGAGGCCCCGGGTTGGGGGTTCAAGGTGCAGGCCCTCCCGGACAGGCAGCAGGGACCACAACGTAGGACACACATCACTTACCCAGTTACAAAGAGCGATAAAGGAATCCATAAATTTTGCATTTACAAGATCCTGCAACGAAGGCGTTGTAAGTTGCTCTTTCTGGGCACGCAGGTTCCAGCAGCACAGAGGCTAAGGACAGCGGCAGCGCGGGCCGCGGGCCCCCCGGGGACGGCGGCGGCGGCACGCCGGGGCTGGCCGATGGCTGCCCGCTCCCCAACGGGGGCGGCGGCGGGTCCGCCGGCAGGAAGCGGCCCCTGGACGAGGGCAGCAACGGGCACGCCAAGTTCCGCCTGAAGAAGAGGAGGAGGGCGCCGGGGCCGGCGCTGCCCAAGAACGCGCTGATGCAGCTGAACGAGATCAAGCCCGGCCTGCAGTACTCGCTGCTGTCCCAGACGGGGCCCGTGCACGCGCCGCTCTTCGTCATGTCCGTGGAGGTGAACGGGCAGGTGTTCGAGGGCTCCGGCCCCACCAAGAAGAAGGCCAAGCTGCACGCCGCCGAGAAGGCCCTGCGCTCCTTCGTCCAGTTCCCCAACGCCTCCGAGGCCCACCTGGCCATGGGGCGGAGCCTGTCCGCCAATGCGGACTTCACGTCCGACCAGGCCGACTTCCCCGACACGCTCTTCAACGGCTTCGAGACGCCGGACAGGTCGGAAGTGCCCTTCTTCATGGGCTCCAACGGCGACGACTCCTTCAGCTCCAGCGGGGACCTCAGCTTGTCGGCGTCCCCGGTGCCCGCCAGCCTCGTGCAGCCCCCGCTCCCGGCCCTGCCGCCCTTCCCCCTGCCCAGCGGGAAGAACCCCGTGATGATCCTGAACGAGCTGCGCCCGGGCCTGAAGTACGACTTCCTCTCGGAGAGCGGGGAGAGCCACGCCAAGAACTTTGTCATGTCCGTGGTCGTGGACGGCCAGTTCTTCGAAGGGTCGGGAAGGAACAAAAAGCTCGCCAAGGCCCGGGCCGCGCAGTCCGCCCTGGCCGCCGTCTTCAACCTGCACCTGGATCAGACACCGTCGCGCCAGCCCATCCTCAGCGAGGGCCTCCAGTTGCACCTGCCCCAGGTGAGGACGGGTCCGGGCACAGCCTGGTCATGCTTTTAGACAGGACTCGGTTTCATTGTCACCGCTGACTCTCCATCTTCCGTCACCGACCTCACCACGGTTCCCAGTGAGTGTGGCCGCTGCGCAGGCTCTCTGAGATTGTGCTGGCCGCGTTGTCCCTGGGCGGGCAGCCGCCCGAGGCTGTCGCAGCACAGGGTGGGGACACGAGGGCGGTGCAGCCGGCCCGCTCCGTGCTGAGGTTCGCCCGGGAAGGCAGACCACGGTCCCCTCCCTGTGGCGGCACAGGTGTTCCGAACTCGGGCACCTGCCCCAGCCCAGGGTGCTTTCCGAAGTCTTGCTGGGCTGGGGGCACCGGGGGAGTGCATTGGCCTGGCAGCTGCCGAAACCCAAGGGTGGCGGGGCTCCGGGCTGCGCAGGACTGGCCGGCGGCCGCACTCCCGAGCCCCCAGCGGTAGGGAGCATGTGTCAGAGGGACAAGGTGTGTGGGGGGCCCTCAAGCAAGTGCTCCGGGGCCCCCCAGGCATCCGGGTCTCTGTGCCTGGTGTTCACCACCTGGGATTCATACAGGCTCCCTCCTGCCTGGCCGGAGTGGGTGGCCACTCTTCCGTTTGGTCTTGGACCCCGACACCCCCTAATATCGGGGTGAACACAGGGAAACGTGCAGGGGGCCCAGATCGGCATCTGCGAGGGAGGAAGCTAAAGGGGAAGGAACACGTAGTATCCTCTCTAAATCCTGCACCTCTGCTTGTTTATCGCTTCTTTTCTTAGAAATTCAGAATTCTCTGGTCTACTGTAAAAACCAGTCTTTCAGGGAGAAAACCTGTCCTTCTTGTCTGTTGATTCCTTCTTGTCAAAGCATCATTCAGTTCAAAGACAAAATATGTTGCAGTTTGAGCAGAAAGATGAAGGACCTGGGCATCAGCAGGCAGGTGGTCTGTGCCCTCTCAGAAAGACCGCAGATGTCAGCCCGTCTTTCGCCTTCGAGCCAGTTTGAGTGACCTGCGTGCAGGTGTCCCCCGAGATGGCCAAGGCCCTCCGTTTTAAAAGGAGGAAATTTATTTTATTTTTAAAGCAACGTCACGCAGCACTCTTATGAAGTAGCATGCTCACGGTAACGTGCTGATTTTTTTGTGAGCCGAGTAATTGCTTCCAACCTTGACCTCTTGCTCCAAGGCCACTTGTAGTTTTACAGAGCAGTGGCACTGGTTCCCAAGTGACTTCTTTAGTTTTCAGGTCCACTGTTCGCTGAACTATGTCAGCTTGAGCTCAGGACGACACCTGACTTGCCCTGTGGTCCCCGAACGCGAGCAGGGCCAGGTGTGACAGAGCAAAGCCTGCCAAGCACTCTGCCTCCCAGAGGCCAGGTTGTGCAGTGCAGATGGGGAACGGGGCAGAGGGGTCTGTGTGTGCTCGTGTACACGCGTGTGCACGTGTATGTACTCACAGCCCCACCCCCAGGCCGGGCTCAGTGGAGCGGTGGTGACCAGAGCCCCTGGCCTGGGAGGGCTGGGCCTGTGCAGCATCCGTGGGGAGGGCACGTGTGGGGATCCTGCAGGGAAGGGTGTGGGGGGAGGGGCCGCCCACACCACTTGCAGGTTCTGCGGGTGCTGAGCTGCGGTTTCAGGACTCCTGTGGTCCCTGACCCCTCGAGGCCTGAGGGAGTGGAGCTGCTTAGGTCAGACGTCACTGGTCATGTGATCCTTTCCCTTCATGGCGTTCACATCAGCACCAGACGGTTTAAAAACTGGGCGCCACGGACCGCACGGGCGAGTGTGAAACACCCCGTGAGCAGTGCACGTTAGTGAAGTGGCCCAGCCGAGCCGCAGCGCCTCTCCGCCCGAGTGTCACTGCAGGAGGGGGTGCCGGGGCCTGCGGGGGGGTGGGGGTGCCATTTAGGAGCACGTGACCTTGTCATTACACCCACCGCCACAGGTGGAGGGAGAGGCGCTTCGTGGCCCGTAGAGAAAGAGGGAGTGACCTCTTTAAGGGGGTGGAAGCACTGCCCGTGTGTGCAGATGCTGGCATCACACCAGCAAGTAAGTGTGTGCGGAAGTGCCCGACCTCCATCTGAACTCAGATACAACTCTTGTGCTTTTCTCCGAAAATGTGTAGACACACCTGACTTTTATGAAAAGAGACTTTTATCTGCTCTAACGTCTCACTGTTTTCCCTTCTGCGTGAGTTGGAATGTGTTGTCCTTTACCGTTGGTACCCCCGCCTGTGTGCGGCCGCACCCCCCTTTCTGACTGTGGTCTGCTCGGTGCTCTGTGCTCACATCTGCAGCACCGAGGCCTCTGCCAGGTGCCAGGTGAGGCCCTTGGGCCCCGCCTGGACCTTCTGCCCGCTCTCCCCTGGCGCTCGCTGGGATTTGCTGGTGCAGTGATGGGAGTGAAACCTCCTGACAGCTGTGCTTTTCCCAAATAAGTCGTCATCCAGGATGAGTGACTTTCCTATTCGTTTTGAGAGTGTTGTATTAAGAGCCGAGGTGGGGACACTAGACTGGGACATTTGATTATCAAGACAAGTGTGAGATGGAGGGCGTGTAGATCCAGTGTGGCTCTTACACATGCACTGTTGTGCACCGCTTCCCGGAACTCAAAGGGTCCGCTTTATCACGATATCGTGAGTCATAAAAATGAGACGTGCCCCAAATCTAACGGAGAGGTTAGCCTCTAGAAGCTCTCCCTGCGGCACAGGTGCTGTCGGAGCTGGCCACACGCCAGCTGCCGTGTTCCAGGCCTCACTGAGCGCCTTCCCCGGAGTGCGTCCTGCTGTCCCTTGATCCAGGTGACCACTGCCCTGCAGGCCCTGGTCAGTGTTGGATCCTGAGAGCACGGCTGAGCCGGGGTGGTTCACCTCGTGCTGAAATACCCAAGGCACCCGATGGGCGGGGACCTTTGAGGGGGAGGCGCTGCCCAGAGCTTATGATTCTGTAGTGCAGTCATGCTTCTAACTGCCTGAGACATGGGGTGGCACACCCAAGGGTGGGCTCCTGGCCTTGCCAGCCTGCGCCAGACACTCTCAGAGCAGGGGAGGGGGGAGGCAGGTGACTGCAGGAAGGCACTGTGGCCACCCTCCACCTCGGTGTCCTCATCAGAGGGGGGCTGGTGCCTTGCAGAGATGGGGGCGGGGGGCAGCAGGGTGTGCCTCACACGCCGAGCCGTCCCGTCCTCCAGACCCTGTCGAAAGACCCCAGCCATGGCCTTTGTGTGCTCCCTGGGTGTGTGTTTCCGTTGAGTGTTTGGAGCAAATGCACACACGCACGCACGCACCCGTGTGCCAGCTTCGCCGTGGGACTCTCCAGAAGAGGAGCCATCGGCGCCGTCACCCTCTGACGGGAGAGCCCGCGTTGGCGTTTGCAGGCGGGTGCAGGCGCCTAACCCCCTCTGTGGTCCTCAGGTGTTAGCAGACGCTGTGGCCCGCCTGGTTCTGGATAAGTTTGGGGACCTGACGGACAACTTCTCCTCCCCCCATGCACGCAGGAAGGTTCTTGCTGGGATCGTCATGACGACAGGTAAACAAACACCTTGCCCTGTAAAGATCTCTGACTCTAACGGGAAAATCCTTTTGTCCTTCTTCTTCAGAATGTCTGCCACCTGCAAATGTGGGAAGCGTACCTAGTTTTTTTTTCCCAAATGTCCATCTTTTCACCCTACGTTGTTTTTATTCGGGGAAGCAGTCTGTTAGTACTGGGTCCCCGCAGTCCCGCGTGAGTGGTCTGGAGCTGCTCGGAAAACGGCAGGAGGCGTTAACTCCTGCTGCGCTGGAAAGTGGGGCGCATCCGGGTTAGCAGTTGGCGCTCGTGCCGCTGGGCGGGTTTCTGTGTGACTGCGGGGGAGAGCTGGGGCTCTAGCAAGAGTCGCAAGTCTGTGGGGAAGGAGGCGAGGTTTGGGACGGCAGGAGGAACCCAATTACACTTGTCCAGCCGTTCCGGTCGTGGAAGGAGCCCTTCCCCAGGCCCCCATCCCACACCCCGGAGCAGGACCTGCTGCTGCATCTCCGTGGGCGAGTCCTAGGAACAGGAAGCCTCGACCTGACCAGTGCTTAGGTCCCCACAGTGGGGCAGGCAGGGGCGTGGAGAAAGGACCCCGCTTCCTGTCACATGGGCTCCTCTCTGCTGGCGGCATCCACAGCGTGTGCAGGAAACTGGCCGTGGAGGTCAGGGAGTGAGGGGCCAGGCACGGGGGATCGGTGCCTGCTGGCAGGGAGCATCACCCTGCTCTAGGTGGAGGTGGCTGCGTTGCCCGCCTCTCCTGAGGTAGTTCTCCGACCCAGTGGGGAGAGGACACGATATCAGTCCCCCACGCCCTGCAGAAGCGTGATGACTCTTGCGTCACCGCCATCTCTGCCGTGGCGTGTGGGCTTCGGTGCAGCTGGGCGTGTGTCTGGGGTGGGGTGCGGAGCTCTGACGGGTAAGGTGGGTCTCAGGTGTTCTGTGACAGGTGGTGCCCCTGTCCTCCTCTCTCTTCTCTCCTTACTCCTGCAACTTACCTAACTGGACGGTGAGTGGCTGAGACCACAGTTCCCGAGCAGGCTCTGGGGCTCCTCTGCAGACACGGACGCGGGTGCAGTGCCATTCCCCCAGCTCTCCCGCCACCTTAGGGGAGGCAGCCGACCTCAGGGCAGCATGTGCACCCCAGCGCGAAGCCCCCTTGGGAGGCTGCTCAGAGCTGCAGTTCACGTCTGCAGGCGGGACTGTGCAGCCCGGGGCTCGGGGTTCTGACCTCAGATGGCCTCCTCTCACTGGATGGCCCTGGGAAGGTTATTGCCGCCTCTGCCTGAGCTTCCTGCTCTCTAAAACGGAGGCAGTGGTACTGTGTACCTTCAGATCACGGGAAGGGAGTGAGAATACCTCACCGGGTAGACATGGCTCACTGCCCTCCTCAGGGCGCCCCACCATTCTGTAGCTGCTGGTGGCGCAGTTTGTGCCTGGCGGCGGTCAGGGCCTTCGCAGCGAGCCCGCAGCACGTGGTCTGTGACAGACTAGCTCTTCCGGAGGTCCCTGGGGGTGGAGGGTTTGCCAGCAGCACAGTGAGACGGTGCCAGGGACCCCCAACCGCACCCTGTGAGGGACTTGCTTTCTCCCTGTCCCCTCCTCAGCGCCTCTTTAGTGCTCTGATGTCAATTTCAGTATTAGCAACTAGACCGTTGAGTCCACTTTCACGGAGCACTTCCTGTTTGTGTCCGACACGGCCTGTTCAAGAGCGAACTATTCCATCCCAGAGGAAACAACTTCCTCAAGTTTAGAGCCTTCACACTGTTTCATGAGGACAGTTGGCTCCCAGGAGTCTCCCAGCGCCCGTCCCCTGGGAGGCCTGCCGTCAGGGGTGGGGGTGGGGGGTTGTGAGCTGGAGCGGACCGCTCTGCGAGGCGCCCTCACCGGGGACGCTCGGGCCCCGGGGGCGCAGGACTGGGACTTAGAGGAATGGTCTCTCTTGTTTTCCAGGCACAGATGTTAAAGACGCCAAGGTGATCTGTGTTTCCACGGGAACGAAATGTATTAACGGCGAGTACATGAGTGACCGTGGCCTTGCTTTGAATGACTGCCACGCAGAGATCATATCTCGGAGGTCCTTGCTTAGATTCCTTTATACGCAGCTTGAGCTTTACCTAAAGTAAGTCTAGTAAGTAAGTAAGTAAAGGAAGCTGTTTTAAAAAGTATCCCCCCCACCCCACTGTGTCAGAAAGCACTGCAAAACTTTCACTGGAAAATTCTCAAAGTGGTAGCTTTGTCAGCAACAGCAAGGTTGGATCCCGCTTTCCCACGATGCTCCAGCTACAAATAGAGTTGGCTAGATTACAGCAGACACATGTATACGCACATGTACACACATGCACACACACATAGCAGCACCACAGATGTCAGATCTGTGCACGACCCTGTGCTGTGTTTCATGCGGTCCAACATCAGCAGAACTCCACCGCCTGGTAAACGCAGTCATTTTCATTCTAGTCACTGTGCCTAGAGTCAGCCCCTCGTCTGTCCGAACTGCCTTTCTTTACAAGGCCATCTCTGCACATAGTCACTCTGTTTGAAGTCATCAGTGGGAAAGAAAGGAGAAATACTCACATTTCGATGGCATGCCCCTTGTCGAGCAGACAGGAATTGTGCGAACTATCATAAGCGTGTAAAATAAAGATCCCAGCCCACGCTTCTCCACACCCCTTTGCAAACAGGGTCCTTTGAAACCGCAGTGAGCTGGGAGAGGCTGGATTCTGACCACACACAGCTAGAAAGTTTACTTTGCAACTGGTTTCCTTTCAGCAACAAAGATGATCAAAAAAAGTCCATCTTCCAGAAGTCTGAGCGGGGAGGCTTTAAACTGAAGGACAGCGTCCAGTTCCATCTGTACATCAGCACCTCACCCTGCGGGGACGCCAGAATCTTCTCTCCGCACGAGCCCATCCTGGAAGGTACGGCCCAGTCTCCTGGCAGTCAGCCGTGTCTCCAACTTCACGGCCGTGTAGCGACACACAAAACGATATACATTAGTATCCTTTTTTAAATGTCAGCCTTGATTGTGGTCTGAGGAATGTATAAAAGCGTGAGGTTTTACTTTTCCGTGAATAATTAATTAGAAAGTTTTGTTGGATGAAAAATGTTGATTCTCATAAACTAAGAAATTGAAGCCCTGGCTGGCGTAGCTCAGTGGATTGAGCACAGGCTGTGAACCAAAGTGTCGCAGGTTCGATTCCCAGTCAGGGCACATGCCTGGGTTACAGGCCATAACCCCCAGCAACCGCACATTGATGTTTCTCTCTCTCTCTCTATCTCCCTCCCTTCCCTCTCTAAAAATAAATAAACAAAATCTTAAAAAAAAAAAAAAAAAGAAAATAACTTGTACCTTAAAAAAAAAAAAGAAAGAAAGAAATTGGAGTGGAGTGAGGATATCAGACCAGATTTGCTTTTGGCACTTAAATTTGGGTAACGTGTGCCTCTGAACCAGCGGTGCACATCCTCTCCCACATTTCTGATGGATTTTAACTTACTTGGCGTGTAATCGGCGCGTTTGGCCGAAACTCCCAGAGCAGGTTCGGCCTGATGAAAAGGAGCCCCGTTCTGCTGCAGTTCCCCGCCCTCCCCTGCGTGCCGGTCGGTTCTTCGGTCGCGTCCGAATTCGTGTCCACGTTTCTCTCCCAAGCCTAAACGTTGTTTATCACAAATGGAAAATTTGACTACGTTTTGTTCCTTGATCATAAAAGCTACACATCCCCCCACTGTGGGAAATTGCTAAGTATTTTTAAAATAAGAAGGAGAATTTAAGTCATCCGGGTTTGTATGACCCAGAGGTGGTTGCTGTGGATGTTTGCACGCGCTTCCTGTGGGCTTATTTCTGCACTCTTGTGGGCAGTTTTTTGAAAATTTAATACATTTAATAAATTTTCAAAAAATGAGGAAATATAATAAACACTCAGCTATCCAACACCCAGAATTAACAAATGTTAACATTTTGTCCTGTTTGCTTCAACTGCTTTTTTAATGATAGAAATCGATCACTTTGGTCAATAAAAAGAAGCCCTGTTTTCCCCCAACCCCTCACAAGGCCACCTCCGTGACTTTGGCTCGTGTTACATCCGTCCTGTCCGGCCTCGTGTGCTCACGCCTCACGCGGGTCCCGTGGACACGGAATGCAGCTGTGTGCACAGAGAGGCGTGCACTGTGGTGTGAACCTGCAGGGGGCGCTCCAACGTGTTTCTCAGTGAGTGAGACCGACGGTTTCCTTCTCCCTTTCTCCCAGAACCCGCAGACAGACACCCGAACCGCAAAGCCCGAGGCCAGCTGCGGACGAAGATAGAATCTGGGGAGGGGACCATCCCCGTGCGCTCGAACGCGAGCATCCAGACGTGGGACGGGGTGCTGCAGGGGGAGAGGCTGCTCACCATGTCCTGCAGCGACAAGATGGCACGGTAAGGGCCCCGGGGACCCCGGCTCTCCCGCTGCGCCAGACTCACCCCTGCTGGTTCCCAGGCCCTTCTTTCTCGGTGTGCCGGTCACCCCCGCTGGCTTTCGGAACAGCGGGGGCTCGTCCCCAGTGTCCCCCACAGCCTTCGAGTGACTGAGGCTCCGGAGGGCCCCAGGACCCTTCGAGGGGACGGAGGTGGGCCTTTGCCCAGGAGGCTCCAGGCGGCCCCTTGCCCGTTGTTGTTGCTGCCGCACGTGGCGTCCGGGGTGAACTGACGCGTCGCACTGGGACGCTTTGAAACAGTTTGCTCCCACGGAAAGCACAGTGCCTCGTTGATCGTCGATGAGACTGCAAGGGTCACACTCACTGTTGAGTTAGTACTTGGGGTGACTGGTGTTTACGTTGTACAAACGACGTGACACCCGTCGCAGGCGTGTTGCTCTGAGCGCCGAGAGCGCCGCTGGTGGGCAGGCCGAGGGGGCGCTGCGGGCACACGTGGAGTTTGCTCCCCGGGAGGGAGGGGGGAACGTTCCTTCAGGGGCCGGCGTCGTCCATGCTCAGAAAACCCCGCTCCTTCGGGTGCTGGCCTCCTTTCCAGTAGTTCTTTGTCTTTCAACAAACGTTTATTTGAAAGAGGTTAAATGGTAGAAAAGTGTGCAAAATGAAAATCTCCTCCCCTTCTGAGCTCCCCGTGGCCTGTTGGGAGTGGGTTCCTGGCCGCTGCCCCAACAGCAGTCAGGGCTGACACACGCGTGTGCGCACGTCTTCTCGGTTGTTCGTGAGCCTTTGTCTTGGCCTTCTCCGCTGGCCCCTGTCGGGGGGGTGCAGGGACACGGAGTCCGTTCCGCCCAGCAGGGGCGCCCACAGGACATGTTTACCTATTACACGCCCTTTGTATGTATTTCCGTGTGTGTGTGTGTGTCCTTGAAAAATACCCAGTAGTGTCACTTCGGGTGTTCGTGCGCATGTTGTCAGTCTGCCGTCAGGGTGCAGAAACCGTCTTGTGCTTCCGATCCCGTCCCGCACCTTGTGTTCTCATGCGCCCCCGTGTCTGGGGGACTCTCCCTGGTGCGGTTGTGAGCGGCCCTCGGATTGCCAGTGTGCCCCAGTCACGGCCACGTCACGGCCACATCACGGTCGTCCCCTCACGGTGGAAACGAGGATTTCCTCAGCCTGCCTCCCCAGTACAGCCCTGAAGTCCCCTAAACGCAGCGCCATAGAGGCCTTGTGCCCTAGGGGTTGGACACGGGGGACCCTCACGCTGTGCTGGTGGGCGTGCCCGGACGGTCCCAGCAGCTGCGCTGACCAACAGTGCGCATGAGGTTAGCTCCCCCGTGTTCCTGACTGGCGTCCCATGGTTTTAGTTTACGTGTCTCTTCCCACAAGGAGCGTCAGCATCTCCTTGACTGCCCGTCTCACCCCCCTGAATGTCCCGTTCACGCCCTGGCCGCTCGGCCTTCGATCTCACGCCCTTTTCGTCTGGATGAGCAAAGTTCCTTTTCAGTCCATGCTGCAGTCCTTAGCGGTGGGGGTGATTCGGTGTCGTCTCCAGGTCCCCCTTGACGGTGTGCCGTCTTGTGTTCCACAGAAGCCCCCAATGTGATGCCACTTGATCCATGAACGTGTCACCCCGTGATTTTCACTTTCAGGGTCTCACCTAAGCAGTTCCTTCTCAAATTCAGGGCCCAGAAATGCTCTCCTGTACGTCTCTCTAAGACCTTTATCGTTTGACCTGCACGTGTAGGCCGTTAATGCGTTTGTGTTGTGAGCAATAACTTAGTTTTCTCGCTCTGACTCGGCGGGCCGGTTTTCCCGGTCCCGCCCGCGGAACAGTCTGTACTTCCTCCCTGGGCTGCGGAGGCTCCTCTGCTGTGGGCTGAGCCCCCCACGAGGGCGGGCCTGTTCCCACACCCTCGGCTCGGGGTCAGCCTGCAGTTCGCCCTCATTGCCCACATTTTATCGTTTCCCTGGCATTTTAATATCTTTAAAGATCTGGTCGGATAAGACTGTCGTTCTCTACCCCTGTTTTGTTTTTTCAGACCTTTGGTAGCTTTTTGTGAACCTCTGTCCTTCTGTGCGTATTTTAGAGTCAGCTTGTCCAGTGTCTCCAGATGTCTTGCTGACATTTTGTACGGAATTACATTGACGTTATGGATTGATTTGGAAAGAATTGGCATAAAGTTAAATCAGCCCATCCATGAATATTGTGTATCTCTCTCCACATTTAATTGTTTTCTTTTATGTCATGTATAGTTTTCCACAAAGATGTTAGGCAACTTTTGACAGATTAATTCCTAGAACTTGATCCTTTCTGTGTTGTTAGTGTGGAGATTATCTTGTTAGCTGCTACACACTCTGTGTGATTATTGCTGCTGGTGTAGACAAACACCATGGATTTCTTTTTACTGTGGTAAAACACATGATATAAAATTACCATCTTACACATTTTTTAAAGATTTTTTTATGACCAGTTGTAGATGCACAACAAAATTAGGATGGGGGTACAGGGATTCCCATGTCCTCTCCGCCCACCCCCACACACCACCTCCGGCAGTCCCCTGGCCCCACCAGAGGGGACTGGTGCGGTCAGCAGGCCTGCACTGACACGGTGTAATCACCCCACACCCACAGTTGACACCAGGGTCACTCTTGGTGGCGCACGTCCTGTGGATTTGGACAGATGTGTGGTGACGCGTGTCCGACGTTCTTTGCGATGTCCAAAACTGGAAGCGGTCCCAGTGGCCCCCGTGGTTCGGGGCTGAGCAGACGACGCTGCTCCACATGGTGGGGGGCCACTCATGCAGGTCCTCCTCCTCCTCATCCTCCTCCTCATCATCGTCATCTGATGCACAGACAATGTGGACAAATCCCAGAATAATGACACAGTGAAAGAAACCAACCAAAAACAGCGCTCACTGTGTGGTTCCACTCCTGCACATTTCTAGAAAACGCAGACTGACCCTCAGTGACAGAAAGCAGACCGGCGGTTGCCTGGGGTGGGGGCCAGCGTGAGAAGGGACAGCACGGAAGGACTGGGACCAGGCGTGAGGAGGGTCTGGGGGCGACGGTCTCCTGGGTGTGTCCAGATGTCAGGCCTGCCCCCTCATTCGCTTCACTGTGGGCAGCACGTTGCATATCAGTGACACCTTGGGGACTCACAGGAGGGGGAATCACAGTGGGAACCAGAAGATGACCGTCAGTAGGTGACAGAAGCACCGTCAGCGGTGGGGTAGGAAGAGAACAACAGGACAAACCCAACTGAGGAGAAAGGGGGAAACAAGGACACCTGGCCAGGAGTGGCGACCAGGGCAGTCCCTGGACAGGGGAGTGACGTCAGCGGAACTTGGGCAGCTCCGACCAAGGACGACGGGAGAGCGGCCAGACCGGTGGGGGCCGCGGTGGGCTGCAGCTGCTTGTGACGGAGAACGAGGCAACTTCATGGCCGAGAGTGCAAAACTCAGATGAAATTTTAAGTTTTCAGAAAAGTGTGCATTTCTAAAACTGACTGAAGTGTAGGTAGACATTTGAAATAGAGTTAAAGTCATTTAAAAAATTAAACCAGTCACCCCACACCCCAGGAGATATTGAAGAACGTCAGAAAAAGGAGGGAGGTACAGGGAGAGGAGACCGCCCACCCAGCTGGGCCCCGCGTGAGGTCCCCACGCCCCTGGGGCCAGGAATCCCTGCTCCCTGCAGTCCCTTTCCGGAGGTTGGAACCGTAGGGACAGGTGGCTCCCAGCTCATGCCATGGGGCTACCAGCACCCCCGCCTCCGAGCCAGACAAGGACAGTAAGGAAAACCAGGTGACGAGCCGCCCTCAGTCATAAAACACACGTACACACGTGATCTCAAGGGCAGCAAACCAAGCCAGCGGTGCACTGTTAATAATTCCGTCAGCTCCCTCCACATCTGTCACTTGAACACGGTTTTAATCAAAGTCTCGTCCTTCTCCGTAGCACCTGGAGGCCTAATCCCAGCCCTCGGATGGGAAAGTCCCGGTGGGACGCGGGGTGGCCGCTGGCAGAGGGTGGTGGTGGCACGAATGCGGGGCCGGAAGGAGACCTGAGGGCGCGTGACGCACCGCCCAGGGTGACGTTCGCCTGCGTGTGAGAGGGAGTGTAAACCAGACGCGAGTGTTACTTCTCTCGCACAGAAAACTCGGTTCAGAAGCAGGCTTTCCAGAGCCGCTGTGGTGAGTGCATGGTCACCCAGAGGCCAGGCCCCTTCTTCCTGTGCCATGTGGCGGGCGCCTACTGTCCTCGGGGTCTCCTGGTGCCCTGACAGGGCCACGTCCCCAAGCGCTGGGTCCAATCCCCAGTAGTGGGAGGGGGAAAGGATGGGCAGTGGGGGCTGGGGGACAGCTGGGTGAGCCCCTGGCCTGCACACAGGGTGCCGTCTGGAATAGAGGGATCGAGGCTCTTGCTCGAAAGAAGGGAGGGACTGTCGGGCAGCAGCCACAGCCTCTGCCACGGTCGGGGCTCGCCAGGGAGATGAACTGGCTGATGAACCGCCCGTAGGAAGACAGACGAGCCCTCCGTCAGCCGCACAGGTGCGTTCCCAACAAGCAAGGACCCGGGTAAAGAGGGGTGGTACCTGGCAGTTTTTATGGCTTCCCCTTTGCAGGCACAGAAAGCCCAATTATAAAGAAAACGTGAATAAATGTGACTAAATTTATATTTTAAAACTTCTTTACCAAAACCCCGTAGATAGAGTAGAGAGAAAAGCCCGTATTGGGAAGAGTTTCAGATTTGCATAAGCGGTAGGTAACCCGGATTATGAAGCAGACCCCCCACAGCTCGGCTCAGTCACACGGGGGTGTTGCTGGCAGGGGCTGGGCTGGGGGTCCTGTGAATGCTCTGTGTCTCGGTGGAATGAGGGTCACACGTGTACGCAAGTCATACTCAGGCGTGCACCCCTGTGATCCGCACCTCCCGCTGTATCCCGATGGCACCGTGTCAGAGGGACAAGCCAGGACCAGCCAGGGGGAAAGGAGGAAGGATGCTCCTAGAGGGGACAGCATGGGGACCACGGCTGCAGCCTGCCCCTCCCAGGCCCTCCAGCACCAGGCACACGGGGCCCGCACCACACGGCTCTCCAGTTCCACGGACCAGGCCGATTCTGACGGGCTGTGGGGCTCAGTGCAGCCCCACGGGCTGCGGGGCGTCCCATGAGACCGCGCAGGCGCCCACACTTCTGTCTGACCGGGCTGCAGGTCCCGGTGCCCTAGACCCCTCCTCAGGCTCGACGACGTGGCTAGAACAGCTCCTAGAACTCTGGGATCACAGTAACTTAATTTACCATTTCACTGTAAAGGATACGAGTCAGGAGCAGGCCTGGGGAAGAGATGCCCAGGGGGTGGGGCACACGGCCCTTCCTGTGCTCCGAAAGCTCCCCGAGCCCCTTGGGTCGGGCGCTAGGCAGATTTCGGTCACATGGCCACAGCTGAGTGCATCATTGGTCATTAGGGATCAACTTGATCCCATTTCCTCTTCACCCTGCTCTGATTCTGTGGTCAGTTCCCCTGGCAACTGGCCCCCATCCTCCTAGAGTCACCTCATTTGCATAAGCCCAGGTGAGGTTGGAAACGGCTTCCTGTTCGGTATCACACCAACAGATGGCCACGGCCGAACAACAGAACGGTCATGGCCCAGAAACAGCGCTGGTGGACGGAGCACCGCCCGCCGTCCGCAGCCCTCCTGTCCTGTCCTGTCCTGAGGGAGTGAAATGATCAGCCCCCTGAGTGGCTGTCACGGTTGAGAGGCAGTGGGCAGGTGCTGGGCGAGATGTCCTGTGTCTCTTGCAGAGGGACAGAGCAGGGCCCCATATGTTCCTGCCTGAGGGGCAGGAAATGGGGTTAGCAGCAGAGGGCCACCTTGGCGGTGGTGGCCAGGGTGGTCCGGGGGAGGCGAGGGAGGGGCAGTGCTACTGCTGGGTCACCCGGCGGGTGGGCCGTTTGGCTGAAGGCAGCTGCCACCCCCCTAGGCGGCACGGGTCACAGTGATGAGAGTGAGCTAACCGTCTCACGGTGAGTTGCGTCAACTGGGCTGTGGGAAGGTGCCGGGGTCTCAGACCTGGTGACCTTGGCCTCTGTGCACTGTGGGAGGAAGCATAGACCACCCTCCTGAGGGCAGACAGCTTATTCATTCAGAGCTGCTGTAGCAGGGGGCCCACCTACTCTGTGTGGGTGAGTGGGGGGGGGGGTGCAGCTCCAGTTGGAGAAGGGGCTCAGCTCAGGTGTGTTGCATGGAGGCTGTGGGCCAGGTAGCCGGAAGTGAGGCCTCCTCTGGTGGGGGGCACCCCGGGCTCTCTCTGGGTGGTCCCAGGTTGGAGGCAGGGACGACTGTTGGGGCGGCCGACCCAGTCCTGACCGTTCTGGGCCAGTGGCCATGGAGGCTGTGCTGGGTCGGAGCTGTCCTGTGACTCCCGGTCGGGCTGGCTGCCGGCCGCTGAGGTACTCAGCTGCTCAGGGCGGGACCGGGCCCTTCACGGATCCGGGGACCTGCCCACGTGGCAGCACTCCGGACCCCGGACCCCGTCCCCCGGGAAAGGGCGGAAGGCAGGTGAAGGAGAGAGAGAGGCCCAGCGGCAGTGAACCCAGCGGGGCCGAGGGAGTGCTCCTCAGCTCCTGTGCGGTTCTGCCCCCCCCCCCCCACCAGCAAGTGTCACCGGCAACCTGCTGTGGACCCTGCAGCCTCCCTGGGGAGGGGGGGGCTGGGAGGGGCTCCCCATTCGGCAGCTGTATGTGCCGAATTTCCCATCTTTGCGCAGGCTCGCTGGGGGCATTTGACAGCGTGGAGCCTGGCTCAGCAGAACAAGGCCCTTGGCCGCCGTGGAGCCCCCCGGCCCGCACTGGGCGTTTCTGCCCCCGGTGAAGTCCTGCCCTCGCTGTCCCTTGTGAGGCCCTCGGGTGGGGTCCTGCAGTGGAGGTGGCGGGTGTGCACGCCGCCTCCCACCGGGCCCTCTGCAGGGCTCCCAGAAGCTCCCGGAACTCTCTTTCGGAGCAGGTGTTCGGAACTAATGGCTTGGAACAGGCGGAGCTCAGTCGCAGTTTTGAAGTGGGCCCTGGGGGGCTGGGTTCAGCCGAAAGGCGGCCCAACCCACACACACACACTCTGAGCTTGCACAGAAGGGGGCCCCGTGGCTTCGGTAGGCGTCCAGTCATGGGTGGCACGCTCTCTCTTGGACGATAGGAAACCTGTGTTTCCGTTTCTGTTGGAGAGGGCGGGAGGAACGCGTTGTAGGGATTGGAGGGTTTGTCGGCTCAGCACGTATTTCTTGACCTGCGTGCACCAGGTACACGGTGTAAGTGTTGGGACAGATCAGTGGGTGCAGCAGACAGCCAGTCCCTCCCTTGGGGAGCTTTCGTGCTGGCGGGGCGGGCGGGGGGCAGGTGATAAAAAGCAGACCTGCAGGTAACGCAGGAAGTTGGCACGGGAGAAGCCTGGGGCAGGACACCGAGAGGGACTTTCCTCAGAGACCAAGACGGGGAGACTGTGGCCAGGAGCCGTCGGGGGCCTGTGTTCTGGGGTGAGGGACCTGAGGGTAGTGGTTCGAGGGGGCATCAAAGGCCCCGGTGGCCTGAGCGTGGGAGGCACCGCGGCTGGCGGGGGGAGGGAGGAGGGGCCGGGTCAGACAGGCCGGCAGCTGTGGAGGTGAAGATGGAGTGTTGGGGTTTTTGTGCAAAAGCGTGACCTGGTGTGGCCTGTGTTTTCACAGGACAGGCGGCTACTGTCGGGGAGGGTGCGGGGATGGGGGCTGTGGGAGAGGGTAAAGTGGTGGGTGGCTCCTGGGGCCGTTCTGAAAGGAGGTCTCTTTCAGGTTTGCGGGCCCCTGGTCGGTGACTGGGATGAGGAGGCGAGTGTGACTGAATTTGGCTTGAGCTGGGTGGACCCGGATGTAAGGCAGGGCCCCTGCAGACGCTGTTCATTCACAGCTCCGACCACCCAGCACAGCCTCCCACTCTCCATGAGGGGCGGAGATTGGGCAGCTGGTGCCCAGTGCTGAGAGTGGACAGAGGGGGAGCACTAATGTCTGTGAATCGGCCTCCTTTCGCTGCCCTGCCCCCCATCTCCGACCAGCGCTGCAGAGGCGGCCCCCTGCGGCCACCTGTCGTCCCACCAAACCTGCCCCACATTGCCGACAGGCCACTCCCCAGAATGCACGGGGTCAGACCCTCTCGGGAAGACACTTCCATTAAATCAGGTGGTGCCACCACCTTCTCGAAAGGCCTTCAGGAGCCTGTGTACCCTGAGGAGCGGCCAGCCCCTGCAGAGGCCACTCCGGTCAGCCTGGCCCTGCCCTCTCCCCAGCCTGTCCCCAGCCTGCCCGCTGCACTGGGCCTGGGTGGGCCTCCCTGCCTCTGCCGCACACCCCCTCGGGGGCTGAGCTCAGGGCCGCTCTCTCAGGGCCCTCCCTGCAGTCAGCACCCTCTTCTGCTTTTTCATGGGACCCCACCACCTGCCACATTGATTTCATCTCAATTTTTAATTCTCGATTCACGTGTTCACCTTTTTACGGCTTGTCCGCATCCAGACAGCCACCGGGCTCTAGGAACACGCGGGTGGTGTCATCTCCGCCCCTGTGGGCTCGGAGCCTGGCACTGAGGGTGCTGGGGTGCAGACTCCGCAGGCCAAGTAGTGTCCCTCCCTCTGTCCTCGGGGCTGGAGAGAGCGAGGGCGGTGGCATGTGGGGGGCGGGGGGTGGTGTGAGTCAGGCAGATTAACGACGGGATCGTCAGTGTCGGGAATGGCCGGTTTAATAAAGCCGAGCAGCCGCTGCCTCTCCCAGCGCCGTGCGCAGGGTCCCTGCTGCTGTGCCCGGCGGGCCAGGCCCGGTGACTGGCTGGTGGCAGGGAGTCTGTCCTGCCCTGTCCTGCCCTGCCCGGCGTGGCTGGCTCTCGCCTCCAGGTGCTAAAGGGAGCCCGACTCCAAGGTGTCGCCAGAGAGGAGGAAAAAGACAGTTTACTATGTTTAAGGATTCCAGAGCGATCGTCTTTATTGGAAATAATATTTACTTTCCCTTTCAATTTTTCTCACAAGAAAGGTGCCTCTCGGACACCGTTAGAACTAACCTTCAGTAAGTACGTTGTGGCAAAAAGTCGTTCCGCAGCTAAAGTGATGTGTAAGTCACACATCACTTTTTCTCTTAACAACTCTAAACCTCTAAGTCAGCTATTTCCGGGTACTCTCATTCTCGTTGGCCGACATCGTGCGGAACGAACGGGGCATCTGTGCAGGAGGCGGGTGGGCGCCGGGGCCCGGCGGGCGCGGAGCCCCCGCTGAGGCGTGGCCCTCTGCCCGCAGGTGGAACGTGGTGGGCATCCAGGGCTCCCTGCTCAGCATCTTCGTGGAGCCGATCTACTTCTCCAGCATCATCCTGGGCAGCCTCTACCACGGGGACCACCTCTCCAGAGCCATGTACCAGCGGATCTCGAACATAGAGGACCTGCCCGCCCTGTACACCCTCAACAAGCCTCTGCTCAGCGGCAAGTATCCCCCGAGTGCGCGCCCACCCCTCCCAGATGAACTTTCCGTGCAGGGTCCGGGTCGCGCGGATACACGCCCCCCCGGGGAAGCTGCCTGTGGAGGAGCCGCCCCGGAGGGCGGGGGGAGGAGGGGGAGGAGGGGGCTGGTCCGGGGCCTGGGAGGGCCGTTCAGCGAGGCCCACTGCCAGGCTCGCCTCTCGCCGTCCGGAGAAGATGGGCAGCCGGGGTGGGGCCTTCGTGCAAGTGGGTTCCCCTGTCCCTGCGGAGAGACTGCCAGATGCCATGGAAATTACACACACTCATTGGCTGTCTGAGGTCAAGCTGGGCTGGGCCACCAGGGTGTGTAGGCATGGTAACCAGCTGCCACTGCAGAGCCAGCCCCTGTGCCAGTGGTGGGTGCCCTGGGTCCTCGCGCCCAGTTTGCTCTTAGGAGGTTGGCCGTGTAATTGAAGTGTGCCCTTGACAGGCCGTGTGTCAGGGATGTGACCGCGGGGACCGTGACAGACTTTTGTGTCAGGGATGTGACCGTGGGGACCGTGACAGGCCCGTGTGTCAGGGATGTGACCATGGGGACCGTGACAGGCCCGTGTGTCAGGGATGTGACCGTGGGGACCGTGACAGGCCCGTGTGTCAGGGATGTGACCGTGGGGACCGTGACAGGCCCGTGTGTCAGGGATGTGACCGTGGGGACCGTGGCAGGCCATGTGTCAGGGACGTCTTGCACTTGCCCTGGGCTCTCACTGTTACCCGTTTGCTGCTTTTCCTTTAGCATTTTAGTGGCTAACTGCGAAGTGAACGAGAGCTTTTGAATTCAAGGGCCTTAACTTCTCAGTTCACTCTTACTTTAAAGGACACAATTAAGGTGCTTGTATCCCATTGAAAATACCATTTCACCTACTTTTTAAACTCAGAACTGAACTCACAGCCCTGAATCAGCCGCGAGTCCCAGTGTGCGAGTGCTCCAGCCGCAGCACGTCGCAGCCCGACTGGGGGGGGCGGGGCTTTCCGGACGCACGGCTCGCCTCGGACAGCACACGCGGAGAGAACCGGGGCGCCCCAGATCGAGTCTCACGGCTCCCTACCCCTAACTAACCCTTGCTCACTAAGGAAAAGGTTAGAGTCTGACAGACCTGACTGTTGGAAGTTGAAACTGTAGCAGCCGCTCCCACCACCGCACGTCCTGGAAGTTTCGGAGGAAGTGCCAGCGTCCCGCTGTGTGTCAACATGCGGGTGTCTCGTGGGCCAGAAAATGGTTCTCCCTGTCTACCGTCTGTGCTCTGCGCCTGAGGGCTTTGTTTAACCTCAGCTGTCACCTGTCTCTCAGATTCGTAGACACTGTCACCTGTCTCTCAGATTCACAGACACTTAGAACACTGCGCGACGTTCCTGGCCCGGAGGGGCCGCTCAGCAGAGGGGTGCCATGGGGACCAAGCCCGTGGCTGGAGGCCGAGGGGACGGGGTCATTTTGCTGAAGGAATATTCTCAGACCCTGAAACGAGAGCTCATTTATAAAAGTCAGGTTATTTTTATCGCCCGATGTATACGAAGTGCACCGATGGCTATAAAAAGGTGCTGAAAAGTAGCCTTTGCAAGAGAGACCTCAAAGCCGTCAATGCGTTCTAGAGTTTGTTAAACAGAGGAAGTAAGTAACAAAATAGAAGAGCCTGCTCTTCGTCCTCCTGTCCCCAGTGTCCCCTCAAACCCCAAAGCCTGAAGCCCCCGCCCCACAGTCGGGGCTGTGCTGAGCCCACACGGCAGGCAGCCGGAGCCTGAGTCGGAGCTGACAGCCTCGTGCCTCGGTTTCTCCCTGTGCCTAGTGACGGGGACAGACCGGACGCCCTCCATCATCCCCTGGGCGAGTGTTAGGATCCCGGGAAGCACAGGGACAGAGCTCAAGTTCCAGGGAGCAGAGCCTTTCTTGACCGCTGAGCCAGGGGGCAGCGGTTTACGGCTTCACAGTCTGTTGGAAATGCAAGCTGTTTGAGGTGTTTTACCTTGGACAGATGCTTTGTGTTGGAAACAGTGGGATTTTGCCGTTGTTTTTCCTTGAAGAGAGCTCCAGTTCGCGCCGCAGGTCGCTTTGGGGAAGACACCTGCACGCAGGGCACTCCTGCGAGGTCCACAGAGGACGAGGCGGCCGAGGGCCGAGGGGGGTGGAGAGGCAGAGAGGTCCTCCCCTGTGGGCCGCACGGGGCTGCCCGGGCTGCGGAAACCCACTGTTCTCACAGGTGGAGGGAATTGAGTGCGAGGATCCGGTGGGAGAGTCCTGGCGTCTCAGCTGTGGGAGCGCACACGCCCGTGGCTGGGACACGGGGGCTGTCCCCTTGGGTCCCCTGCTGTGCCTGCGCGGCGTGCATGCGTCTGTGCCGCAGTTCGCCCCCCGCTCGCTGTGCTGTTCTGTGCATGTTCTGCCATAGCAGTCGCCTCCACCTTAAAGCGGGAATGATGCACGGCAGTGCCCGGAGAATCGCAGGGTCCTAGGGAGGGCAAAAACGGTCGCAAATTCAGCACAGAGGATAACTAAATCACCTGAAACAAGATGACCTAAAAACCAAGCAAGTCAGGTAGGCCCTTACTAAGAAATGTAGTGATGGACTGTTTTAGAAAGCTGTCTAGGCTAGAGTAAGAATTTCACGTGACTTCAGCATGAAGAGCACATCTGGACTCTAAGAGAGGACCGTGGAGGGCAGCCGCGGGCCGTGTGGGTCTCTGCTGTGCGCGCTGGCCCTCCCTCCCTGGCCCCTGGGGAGGGGAAGCCTTTCAGACGCACTCCCTCTTCTCCCCGGGTCCCTTCCACGCCTGCATCTGCCGGCTTCAGAGCAGCTCCAGCTTCCGACTCCCATCGGCCCCGAGCCCAGTGCCTGACCAGCCCTGTTTGCAGTCCCGGTGCTGGAGAGAAGTCCAGAGGGAAGGCCAGGGAGTCTCAGCTGTCCCAGGGCCTGGTGACGGGCAGGCTGCCCCGGGGCCACAGGGGCGGCTCCCCCAGTGCTGGTTTTCCTGATGCCGTGGCCACAAAATACCGACCAACAGGGCAGCACAGGGAGTGCCTCCTAGTGATGCTGTCTGGGCTGGGGCATCTCTGGGAAGATGGGGCAGGGGGCCACTGCTGGTGGGCCAGAGAGAAAGCCACATGCCTCCCCCCACCTCCCCCACCACCTCCCCCACACCCCCGGCCAGGGAACGCAGTGTCTCCATTTACAGCAGTTGGTGAAACTCAGACTCATGTGTCTGCATCACGGAGCTTTACATGGGAGTGGGGGGGGCTGTAAATACGAATGAGGGTGGGAGAAGGTGTGTGTTTTCCAGGCAGGAGTGGGCCCCCGAATGGTGGGGACCCTTTTCCCCTGTCTGGAAGCAAGAGTCTCACCGCAGGCCCTCCCCCAAGGGGAGCAAAGTCGGAGGGGTGGGGCGGGGGCGGGGTGGGGCGGGGCGGACCAGGGCGGACCAGGTTCGGCCCACAGACAAAACCTCCTCCCTTTCATCGCGCCTGCCTTCTCTTCTACCTCCCTAGTGATTTTCTCCTGTCCTTTTGCTGCCTGGATTGCAGTGGCCTTTTCTCTTTTTCCGTACCTGTGGTTTGGAAGTTCTAGGTCTCACTTCTTTTTTGCCCAGTGTTGCCCCTTAATTTTTAAACAAATGAGCACTTAAAAAAACCAGCATCGGTAATTAATCAGTATGGATAACAACCCCAGCCCCAGAGGAGCTGGAAGCTCAGGCAGGCTTCGCCCTCCTTCCTTCCCACCTCATCCTCGTAGATTCTGGCGGCGTTGCCTGGAGGTTTAGAAAGTCTTCCCGAAAGCCTTCCTCACAGGTCCCCCCGCCGCACTGTCAGCCCTTGTTTGGACACACGTACGGGCCACAGTCCCTCCCCGATCACTGTGCGTTCAGGGTCAGTCTTCACGTTGCCGGGACAGAGTGGGGTGGCTGTCCCGGTCGGCTTGGGAAGGTGCCCCCCAGGCAGTGCCCCCACCCTGCGCCGCCCTCGCCCGGCACCGCCTCGGGGTCTGCAGCAGCCGGCACCTCCCTGGGCTCCTGGGCTCAGAGCCACCTTGACCTTCTCTCCCGCCAAAAGATTCCCATTTTGTTTTCTCTCTGGTAGCATTACATTTATCCTTTCCCTTAAAACTCAGACGTTTCCCCAGAGAAAGGCCAGGAGTGTGGCTGCATTTCTCCCCCTCCCCCGGACTCCTCTGAGCGCTTCTACCTGGACGACCTCACCTCCGGATGGGAGAGACTTTCTCCCGTTTTTGTCTCCAGCTGCTGCTTGTGCGCCGTCTTCTCTGACAGTGTCAGTCCAGATTCTCCTGCGGCACCCTGTCCTTTGCCATCCCTACTGTCTGCCCGCGCTCTGAGGAAGCTGACCTGCCCGGTCACGGCTGCACACGGGCATTCTGCCCACGGGGGCGGTTGCTGTCTGGGTTAGCCAGTGCCCGGGACCCTGGCTGTGTCGCAGCCACACCCTCGCAGTCTCCCAGTCCCCGCCTGCTCAGCGTCTCCGTTCTGCGTGACCCACTGTCTGGGCTTTCTCGTCTCCTGCGTCCCAGAGAAAAACGTCCTGGTGACTGGAGCCCAATATAGGGTTGACCAGAAAGTTCGTTTGGTTTTTTTCCGTAAGATGGCTCTAGTAGCGCTTAGCTATCTTTAACTTTGTTCAACAAACTGTTGGTAGATTCTATTGTGGCAGCTGTTGTATTGGCATGCATTTAAAAAATGTATCAAAACTGGTGAATTTTTGTGTAGCTATTTTAACATTGAAGATGGAAGAAAATAAGTAACATTTTTGGCATATTATGCTTTATTATTTCAAGAAAGGTAAAAATGCAACTGAGATGCAAAAAAAAAAGATTTGTGCAGTGTATGGCGAAGGTGTTGTGAGTGATCGAACGTATCAAAAGTGGTTTGTGAAGTTTTGTGCTGGCGATGTCTCACTGGGTGGTGCTCCAGTCAGGCAGACCAGCTGCTGTTGATAGCGATCAAATCGAGACATTAATTGAGAACAACCAACATTCTACCATGTGGGAGACAGCTGATACGCTCAAAATATCCAAATCCACAAAGTTACTGGTGAAAATGAAAAATGCGTCTTTTATTTGACGGAAAAAACCTGAACGGACTTTTTGGCCAGCACAGTAGTTTCCCGAGTGTGATTGGGCATCCCCGACCGGAAGGAAGCTGCCCAGCTGAGGAGGACGGCCAGCACCTGCCGTGGACAGGGTGACGAGGGTCCGCGTGATGGACTGACCCAAATGACCTTAGACTGTCTGTAGACTCAGGGTTCTACAGGATGTGCTTTGCCTGTGTTTTGTTTGTTTGTTTGTCTGTTTGAACATTCTGTATAGGTGACCTTGATGGTAAAGCAGCATTCCCAATTTTACTGACGACCCCTCTGAGGACTTCTCAGCAATACCAGTTGTTGTACTGGGATTCGTCTGCAAACCATGCCCGGGGCATATGCACACTCCCCTCCTCCGTCCCCCGGGGGTGTTGTCGGCCGGGTAGGGACTTGCGGGTAACTGCGCCCAGTCCTGTGTTGTCCGGGCCATGCAGGCTGGGCGGGAGCCCTGCCGGCTGCCCTGCTTCCTCGTGACATGGGGCTCATCCCGGCCAGGCGGCCAGCAGCGCACACTGCACTTTCTGGACCGGAGACTCAGGCTCCTTCCTGACACTGTGTGTCAAAACCCCAGGGTTTCAGCTGTGAAGGAAGTCTTATTTGGCCCGTGGTCCCCTGTGCAGAGCCCTGGGCACCCGTCTGGGCCTGGGGAAGCGGCGGGAAGGCGGTGGGGGAGGCCGTGAGAGCGGGGCGAAGCCTGCTGCCCGGCCACTGCAGCTGCTCGCCACCGGACTAGGCCCAGTTCCTCCCTCCCCAGCTCAGGGCTGTGGTCCTCGGCGGAAACCGGGGTGGGAGTCCGGAGGGCGCTCTGCTCCCAGTTTCAGTGGCAGGCGGTCTCACAGCTTCTGGGGCCCGAGGGGCCAGCAACACCGAGGACCTGGGAGGCCCGGGCGGGTGGCCGGTGTCACCATCACTGTCAGGCGCTGCACACCAGGTTCCTTACGCTCCAGCCCCTACCCAGGTCTCTGTCTGCAGAGTAAAGGTCGCTTTCAATCGAGACTGTAAACGACACATCTTCCGGGTCGATGAACACACGACAGAGAGCTTCTGCGGCAGAAGCCCACGGCGACCCGCGTGTCTGTCCGTCATCATCGTGCATGTAATGCGCTGTGACCGCCCGTGGGCAGGTGAGGCGCTCCCAGGGAACGCCCTTACGAGGGGGCCCCGAGTGAACGCTGGCTCTTCGGGCTTCGAGTCTGGCGTCTAGCCAGTTCGGCTTCTCTGTACTTTCGTTCCAGGAGTTCCGACTCTTGGAATTCACAACAGCAGAGACTCTCGTTTGCAGCCTTGGGGGTCCTGCTTGCCCTGGTTTCCGCACGGTGGCCTGTGATTGGCTCCTTACCCCAGTGCTCGCTTGCAGCCCTGGAAAGACCCGCTCTCCCTGGGTGTCGGGCCACTCGGGGCGTCAGCCCCCGGGACTCGGAGAAATGTGCTCTCCTGACCACACTGGGGGTATTCTGCCCCAGAAAAGGCATGTGGTTAGCGCTGGAAGCCCGAGCTAGCTGTTTTTGTTCTGCCTTATTTTCTCCATTTTTCCATTTATTTAGCTTAAAATACAAACAATATTCGTACTATTAGGATCTTACTTTTTCAGGCAGTTAATTGGCCATTTCTGGTTGCGATGCACAATGGTGTATCTCTGAGGTTGGACTGTCACTCAGCGGTGACCCTTGGTGAGGACCTGACCACACAGGAGTCCAGACCTGCGAGGACGGTGACACAGTGCGAGCACTGCCCACTCGCGAGCGCCGCGGTGCCACTGAGCACCTGGAAACCAGGTGCCGAGCAGAACCACCTTGTGAAAGGTCCCTCCCTGGCCCCTCTCTGTGGGGCTTCGGAACGTGACGCTCAGAGGTGCACAGGAGCCCCACTGAGGGACGGAGTGACTTCCAGTTCCGAGGGGAAACCGTGCTCATCGAAGCATTTTCTATCTAATCAAATCGTGGTCAGGCATTTCGATAAAGTAAGGATGATCAGATTTTATTCAGAGATTCAGAGGATCTATCTACAGTGTATATTTTTGGAGGAAAAAAATATCCGGATACTCTAGCAAAGCGAAGCAGACATCCGAGAGAGGAAACCGTGGGACCCAAAGAAAAATCCCGTAGGAACCTGGCGCCGCGGCAGGACCCCTCGGGGGAAGTGAACGCACTCTCCCAAGTGGTTCGAGGAGCCGGGGGGCCTGTAACGGGGAAAGAACAGCAGAGACTCAGGAGACAGAGACTCCAGGACACCCGAAGAAGAGCCGTTCAGGGAAGGGGGGGCTGAGTTCAAACCGCAGAAGACTGAGGCCCGCGACGGTCAGTTCTCACCGTCCCCCTGACTGGCCATGGCGCCCAGAACATGTGTTCTCCCTGGGGGAGCCAGGGGCGTCTGCAGGGGAGGTCGGCATCGATGGTGCACTCCGCAAAGCAGACCGCCTCCCCAGGGTGGGTGCTCGCCCATGCTGGGTCTGCCGAGGCTGGCCCACGAGGAGCTCACCCCTTTTTCCTGCCTGGCTGATGGAGCTGGCGGGCCGTCCCTCCTCACCATCCCCTGCTGGCCCGGACTCACACCCCGGCCCTGGTTCTCTGCCCGGGACTCAGGCGGAGCTCCGCCTCCAGCCGCCCTGTGTGCCCAGCTCGCACGGGGCAGGTCCAGGGACTTCCCAGCCTCCGCCTCCTTGGGAGCCAGTCCATCCTCGTGACTCTCCACACGCCCTACCGTTCTGCCTCCCTGGGGACCCTGCCTCGCACAGGTGTGGTTTGGAGCGAGTGCCGGCAGTTGGGGCAGAGACTCCATCTGGTGCTGAGGCCTCAGCGGCCTCCCCTCAGTGCCAGACTTGACCACGAATTAACACTTTCTCTCCCGAGTCTGTCACTCTGCTCGGCCCTGAAGTGCCACACGAGGCCATGACTCGTTGGATCCAGCCTCACTGCCTGCGCAGGTTACTTTGCTCTGGAACTGAACGTCAGCCGCAACGCGGGAGTAGGAAAGGCCAGGGGCCTCGGCCGCGTGGGGGTGGGACTGGTCAGCAACTCTCCAGTCAGAGAGGAAACCGGGCTGAGCCGGTCTAAGCCTGCCCCTGTCGGACGTGGCAACTGGAGCTGCAGGCACGCTCAGCAGAACCGTGGCCTTGCGTGGGTGCACGAGAATCCATGAACGAAGCATTCGGTTCCGGAAAGTGTGGACATGCAGTGAGAAAACATGTGGAGAGGTTGGATCTTGCATCTCGGGTGTCGGGCGTGCGAGGGGGTGGCCCCGGCGCCGGGGCCTGAGGTCAGACGCGGCCTGCCGTCCTGCACCAGCCGCCCCACTTTCCCGCTCTGTCGCCCGAGCGACTCAGAAGTGCTGTGCAGTCTGTGGGCCTTCCCCCTGCTCCCAGCAGATAGCGCGTTTCTGGGCAGCGGGAGGTGGTGCTGGACCGGTGCAAGTCCGCCCTCCACCCCCGCCCCGCCCCCGGTCCCGCACGCCTGCCGTGAGGGGCTCTGCATGACCTCGCTCGTCCCTCCCCTCCAGGCATCAGCAACGCAGAAGCGCGGCAGCCGGGGAAGGCACCCAACTTCAGCGTCAACTGGACGGTGGGCGACGCGGCCGTCGAGGTCATCAACGCCACGACGGGCAAGGACGAGCTGGGCCGAGCGTCGCGCCTGTGTAAGCACGCGTTGTACTGTCGCTGGATGCGTGTGCACGGCAAGGTACTGAGGCGCCCGCCCCACCCCCACGCGTGTCCCTGTCGCAGCCCCGCCGCCATCCTCCTGGCCCTTCCAGACCTGCTCCCTCTGGCGCCGTCCGGCCCAAAGTCCGGCCCAAAGTCCAGCCCTGGCCCTTCACACTTACAGCAGCTCAGTCAGAGGCCGCTTTGCCTTCCCCACCCCTCCTGCCAGGAACCGCCTGTCCCCTCCAAGAGCAGGCGCCCAGAGGGACAGGCGTTGCTGGGCTCAGTTAGCCCGCCGGGAGGGACTGTAGACCTTTCCTCTGCAGCAGCTGCAGCAGCAGCAGCAGCAGCAGGGCCCCCTTTTCACCCAATAGAACCTTACGTAGTAAATCAGTGTATTACTAGTTTTCACTGACTGTGAGTCAGGTCTGTAGCGTTTACTATGAAGCTGGCCTTGACCTTGACCTGGAGGAACAGACAAGTTGCAGCAGCGCACACATGAGGTGCCAGCCAGGGGCGGGGGGTGCCCCGGTGACCACGAGTGCGCGACACCGTGGTTTCTGAACAGCTGCAGCGCTGGGAGTGGGCGTTGGAATCCACTGTCTGCGGGCGGCCGGGAGCACTGCCTGTTCACCCGCAAGGCTGCTCCTCGGGGTGGGAGCACGGGCCCTCGGACGGGGCGCCCAGGCTGCTCCGTGTGAGGACGGTCCCTCTGCGGGAGGCCCCCCCACACACACATGGTGGCCCCACCCCCACAGGCCAGCACAGTACTAAGTGTCATTTTTGACCATGATCTTGAGTTTTAGCTTCTCCTGTTACTTCTTAAATGGTTGTACTTGTCCTTTGTCTTCGCACAGGTCCCCTCCCACTTACTGCGCTCCCGGATCACCAAACCCAACATGTACCATGAGTCCAAGCTGGTGGCGAAGGAGTACCAGGCGGCCAAGGCCTGCCTGTTCCGGGCGTTCGTCAAGGCTGGGCTGGGCGCCTGGGTGGAGAAGCCCACGGAGCAGGACCAGTTCTCGCTCACGCCCTGACCGCCGGCAGGGACTCGGGGGTGCCCGGTGTCGGCCCTGTCCCCAGAACCTCCCGTCTGCAGTGGGGGCGGGGTGGGGTGGCCAGGGTGGGGCGGGGTGGCCGGGCCGGGGCCGCCCTCGGGCCCCTCTGTGGCACCCTGTCCCCGCCCAGTTGCTGGTGACGGCGTTCAATCTCAGTTTACGATAGAAATCGAGTTCTACCAAGTAGGGCTTCCTGAAGCTTAGGAAATAGCAATTACTTTGTGTGAAATTCTTGAATAAATAATTTATTCAGAGCTAGGAACGTGATTTATAAAATAAGAATTATGTCAGGTTACCCTTATGCCACATTATTTTAATTGCAAAAAAGAGCATTTATATATATTATATATATATATGTGTGTGTGTGTGTGTGTGCAGGAACAGAGGAGGCAGAGGCAGGACATAGTCACCTAAAGGAAGTCCCCGGGGGCACACTTCCCAGCAGTACTGCTCCCTTCAGGCGGGTCCGCGGCGTCCGGCCAGGTCCCTGTAGCGTCTGTTCTTCCAGAAGCTTCTATGCCCCTCGCAGGACCCAGACACCTTTTCTTAGTTGCTTCTGAATAACCGGGTATCAATGTGGCATTCCCTTGAGTTCTGAACCAGTGTTTAACCCGGGGGCCTAGCGGGCAGGGGTCAGGCCACCGCACAATAATCAGCCTGACCCCACCCCTCCCTCGGGGCCCAGCGGACCTGAGCGGCCGCCCAGAGGTCTTCATGGGACCACACGAGAATTGAGTCATAGACGTTCATTTTGGAAAACACCACTTAAGACATATTTCTAAATTATTCTTTCCAGCTTTATCAAAGACGTGTTTGAAAAACAAGTATTCGGGCTGAAAGCTGGTGACACAGCAGGCTGCAGGCGTGGTCGTGGCAGGGAGGGGGTGCTGCTGGCATCCGGGGGGGCCCAGGGGCTTTGCCCCACACCCTACAGCACACAGGACGGCCAGGGCGGCTGAGCGAGGGGGTCAGGCGGTTCGAGGCCCGGCACCGCCCGGCCTGTGCTTGGAGACCCGGACCAGCTACCGGTCGCCTCCACTCGGGGCCAGAGCGGAGCGGACCGAGGGCGCGCTCCCACCTCCGGCTGAGTTATGGCCGTGTGGGGTCCCACGGTGCCAGGGGCAGAGACGGACACCCCCCACCCTGCAGCGAAGCCCAGGGTGTCGCCTGTGTGGCATCAAGGTGTGCACCTGGTGTCCTGTGTCCTCTCTGGCCCAGAATGTGAGGAGCAGGAGCAGATCTTGGAGCCTGCAGTGGTCACATCGAAGGGGGTGCGTCCTGGGGGCAGGTTGCTCTGGCCTGGGACCCACCAGGTTCCGGGTCAGGCGCTGCCCGCACCAGCCTGCCCCCTCGTGTAGGGCAGGTTGCTCAACCTGAGCCAGTCAGAGGCCGGGCTCAGGCCCCCGTCGCATAGGCTGTGGTCTGGGTGCCACGCTCTGGCGTTCTCTCCCCGTCACGGGACGGGTGTCTGGGGGTGCCGGCCCCTCCCCACAGCAGGCGCTCCCGTGCCCAGAAAAGCATTGCGAGAGGCCCTGTGTTTTTATTCTTCTCTCTAAAAATGGTATTTTTTCTAATGGGGATTGGGAGATGCACTTAGTTTTTAAAAAAGGCATGGATTTTGATGACGAAGCCCAGTGGAAATACATTCCGTAGACACGTACTATCCCATGTGTCTGGCCCTCCCTCCCGTCAGGGAGGGTTGTTGATGTCAGCACGAGTCTCCCTCCAGCCCCAGGTGACCGGGTGCCCTACCGTGTCGGTCCCCATGGCCCCTGAGCTGTGTGATTTTCCTGGGCCGAGTCTGTGAGACCCGCCAGAGCAGGGCGGTGCTCTGAAGGCACCCAGGTCTGACCCATGGTTGCCAGGTAGGAAGGTGGGAGGTCGGGGTGGGCGGTGGCCAGGGGGCCTGCACAGGACAGTCTGCCTCCCACTCCTCCGAGAGCAGGGCGGGGAGAGCCGATCACCTCCTGCAGGAGACAAAGCAGGAGACCCGGCACTTTCAACCGCCCCTTCCTCCTGAGCTCGCCGTGCGTGAGACACACAGCCCCGTGTGCTCGGGCGTTAATCTGCACCTGACGCCCTCCGCCTGGACTGGAGAAGCTTCACAGACCAGTTGCAACAACCAAGGGCTTGGCTTTTTTGAGAAAAATGTTAAATGTGAGGACCCCTGGCGAGCGAGGGTCAGGAGGGGCTCCGCGCTCTTGTGTCAGCCACCCCCAGAGTGTCGGCCCCATGGGAACGCTGGCCGCTGTCCACCCCAGGCCGCCGGGCAGCCGTCCTGCTGGCGGGGAGGTGGCGTGAAGAGAAGGTTCAGCTGGGGGGGCACATATGGGACGGGAGCTGGGCTCCCCCAGGTCGGGCCGAGGCCGAGGGATGCGTCCCAGCCGCGTGGCTGGGCCCCGCCCCTGCTCAGGGTCAGAGTTCACCTGCTCTCAGGCTCGGACACCAAAGAGCTGCGGTTCTGATTCCGGGTCTTAATTCCACGTTTCACCCTCTTTTCCTACTTTGGAGATTTGTATTGGGATCAAAACAGTTATTTTAAAGTGTCCAAGCCAACATCTCACAAGGTATTGATTTCTCTGGAGTTTAGTTTTGTTCAGATACTGTCCCTGGTCTGCAGGCGGGCGGACCCCTCTGTAAAGACAGCGCTAACCGTGCGGTGCGCCAGGTGGTCTCACCGCGGGGGCCGGCTCCGGCCCCGCCCAGCACCGGTCTAAGAGCGGGGCAGGGCCTGCTGTGCCGAGGCAGCGGGCTCCTGTTCTCACGAGAACCCAAACCAAAATACAACTCGGGTGCATCTTCTCCTTTCTAAATACCCACACCAAAATATAAGGTCCGCCCCAGACGTACGTACATTTGATCCAGCAAGCAAGAAAATTAGCTGGCTTCTCCATCTGTCAACTCCGTGAAATCTCTCCAAAGGTTTCTTCTCACCACCCCAACTGTATCAATGGGGAAGGGCAGAGTCCGTGTGACCGTGCGTGTCCAGTTTTGTGTGTCCTTGTCCCTGGTGTGTCCTGTGGCCCCTCCCCGTGGCCCGAGGCCAGCTCACAGCACACAGTATGTCCACACAGTGGGAGGGAGAGGAGGGGTCCCGGCCTGACCCGACCGTGACTTGGCGTCCTGTCTGGCGACAGGGTCTGCACATCCCTGCTCACTGTTGGGGCTCCAGCGTGGGCTGACGGGGCACAGGGGACGGAGGGTGTCCTGGACATGACCGTGAACAGCTCGCCCCGTGGCATGTCCGTGGGGTGAGCCCTGAAAGCCGTCGGCCTCTCTGGACTCGAGGTCATCTGCTCCTGATCTGACTTCCGAGTGTGGACACTGTGTGAACGTCGTTCAGCCAGGAAACTGCCGCTGAGACACACCCCTCGGTGTTCCCGTTTGTATATTGATGTATATACCACACGTCACCACCCGCATGAGCTCCTCACGCACCGAGACCGGCGGGGCCGAGCATGAGACGCTGTCACGTAGACCAGGGATTTGCCGTGTCCTCAATAAAACAAGGCGTTTCACTACCACGGTGTCGCTGAGAGTTTCTCTCCCTCCTGGCTGCTGCTCCCCTCGGCCCGCTGACCCGCCAGGCTCAGAGTCGGTCGCCGTCTGGTCCGGTCAGCTGTGCCAGCTGTGCCGCACCGGCGCATCCCCATCTGGGGACAGGCTTTCTGGGTCCCCTCGCCCCTCAGATTCTCGGCTTTCCCCCCATTTTCCCAAGCGTGTCAGCAGCTCCCACACACGAGGTGTGCGGGGGACAGTGAGAGCCGCCCCTGCTGGGTCCCTTCCACGAAGACGGGTGATGACATGCGCCCAGTTGCCTGCAGGACATGGGAGGATGACGTGGATGGGGGTGGGGGACACAGGAAAAACATAGATGCCAGCAACAGGCCGTGAACTGGGGGGACTGGGTGTTGGGGCCCGGGACCAGACAGAGCAGGCAGGCCCAGGGAGGGCGGGGCGGATGGGGCGTCTGGGCCCAGGGGAGAAACCCAGGTGCCCAGTGAGAAGCGCAAATTGTGTTATTCAGGACCAACTCACACAGCAAACCAAGGGGGACCCGGCTGAGGTGCGGTGCTCCTGTGGTCTCGAGGAGGCTTGGACGCACCGGGGAGTGGTGGGGGGCCCGGGTCTGGTCACAGTGCGTGGAAGATGGGATTTGGGGTGATTTTTGGTTGGTTTCTCTTTTCTTTTACTTATGTGTTTGCCAATGTATCCACAATTAAATGAAGAACAGACGTGAAAATGTTTTGGAAAGCCGAAAGCCCCATGCCAATAAAAAGCAGCTCCGTCCCAGGCAAATGATTTTCTCTGTTGTGTCAGTTTTGAATCTGTTCTTTCTTCTCACTCGATAAAAGCAACAGAAAAATGAAAACATGTTGCTTTAGAAAAACAAATTAGGCGTCAGAGAAGAGATGGAGGTGGGCGGGCGACGTCTTACGAGTTTAGTCCAGGTTCCGTGGCGTCTTCTGTGGCCCTCGGACTTCACGTCGGGGGCGTGACCATCCACATCTGCCCTGGGGCGGGTCTCTGAGCCCCACAAAGACCCCACCCTGGAGGAGCTCTGGTTCTCCGGGGGAAGGACCCAGGTGAACACGCTGGGCAGACCTGTGTGCAGGGGAGCCTCGGGAGAGAAGAAATGGCTTCTCTGGGGCGGTTTGGAGGCTGAAAGAGCAGTTATGTGATAAATCATTAAATTATTTAATAATTAACTAAAATGTAGCATTAAACACTGAGTTTTAGTTAATATCAGCCCTGGCTGGTGTGGCTCAGTGGGTTGAGCATCATCCTATACACTGAAAGGTTGCGGGTTTGCTTCCTGGTCAGGGCGCATACCCAGGTTGCAGGTTTGGTCCCTGGTCAGGGTGCATGCAGTGGGTGGGGCGGGGGGTCAGCCAATCAATGTTTCTCTCTCACATCGATATTTTGCTCCCTCTCTCCCTGTCTTCCCCTCTCTCTAAAAATCAGTAAGCATGGCCTGGTGAGGATTGTTAAAAATTAGTATCAGTAAAAGCAGAGGTTGCTGGCCGGTCGGGGGTTCTGTCCAGCAGCAGTGTGGGGTACTGAGGCTGAAGTTCCAGGAATTTGGGAGCAGTGGGCGGACACAGCCATTGTTTAAAATCATGTTATACAAACTCACAGTCATACTAACAAACATGATGAGTGAATGCTCAGAACTCATCACTTCTACTTACTCCGCTGCACTCCCCTGCCTTCTGTGCCTTCGTGCTGTGAGGGCCACCCAGTGTTGGGCGCC